GACACGGCTTGTGTGGACATGTGCCATTCGTGGAGGTCATCGGAGTCAGAGGGTGCGGAGGGCTAGGGCTCTGAGCGTGGCTGCATCGCATACGGCTTGCAGGTGTGACACTGTGCAATGGATCGGGTCAGGAACTGTCACTTGTTTACCAGTAGCAAGGCAACGACGCACCATTCCTTCTTATGACACAGTTACTAATCAATCCCGTCAATATGGATATGGAAGAGGTGCTAGCAGGGAAGGACACGCACACGATCACCCTTGACGAACCTCTCCAAGCAGATCACGCACTCCACCTGCTGGTCAGCCAATGCCAGCGTCGAAGGTCGATGCGAAGTCAACAGGGCATCCGGTCCTTGTTCAAGGTTGGGCGTCGGGCGGGCCCTTGACGTTACTAACGTCTAAAGAAACGAGCAGGGGCATGCGAAGACAGGGTCAGCCTCAAAAACAATCGGTGGGACGTCGTCTTGTTTCTTCTGTCCTTGGGGCAAAAAGACGTTAAGGATGAGAGCGGGATCACGTACCCCAGCAGCGGGCCACCGAGCTTGCCACCGAACGAGGCAGGCCGTGCTGGGAAGGTGACAGAAGGTGTTCGGTCAACGAGACACTGCTACCTGAGACCCAAGTCTGACCTCAGAGCTGGCAGCTGTCATCCTTGCGCTTCGAGGAGGAGGAAGAGCCTGGTGAACGTATGGAGCCAGTAGACGGGTGTGTAGCAGTGGGGGCGACAGAAGATGAGGTGGTGAAGGCAAGAATGCGCTGATCATGGAGCGAGCGCGTGTTTAGCGCGGCAAACGCGTCCAACATGTAGGCGCCCATACGCTTCACAAGCTCTTCACCTTCACGCTATAAAGAGTGTCCGCGTAAAAAAACGTCAAGTCCATCCTTCCTTCGCCACGCTACCATCTCCCCTCTGTCACTAAGGTCAATGTCTCAAGAACCAGTCGACTAGACAAGGTGAGTTGTTTCCTGACCTTCAATGTAGAGTTTGTGCTTGCCGCCCAGCCCAATAGGCCGCTGTGCGGCAGTGAGGCTCTGCACGTATGAATTACGGGTGCATATATGCACCCCTTCACTCACCTTTTGCATGTGCAGTCTTGTCTGCGACATTGCCTATCTGCTTACTGTGCGGTTGAAGCGTTTGCTAATGCCTCGGCAGCGCAAACATGCTTCCGACGGTTACGACACGACCAACCCATTCATCGACGACTCGGAGCTCGTGCAAGACAAGCGAACATTCTTCACCCAGACGAAACAGAAGGGCTTCTATGTGTCAAGTGGACAGGAAGCTTTGCCGAACAAGTACGTTTCCCTTCATCCTATCCTATCCTATCCTCCACGACAATCTCATCGCCTCCATGCAAGGCCTGTATGCGCCACATGGTGCGCATATACACGTGCTCAGGGGGTGTTCCACCAGGCATCGTGCGAGAACATAGTACTAAAGCCCAGTCTCCTAAACTTTGTACATCGTGCGATGCATTTTTTTTTGCATTGGTTCGGGTGCTCTGGCCTGTCCTCGCCCGTGTACACGCCTCATCATTCTCAATCCTCCATCTCCATCATCTGGTGAGACTTCGCATCATTACCATTGCGCATATACGCTTGCTCGACGAACCCTGCCGCGAAGAGGCCGAAACTCCGCTGGGTGCGACGCTGAAGACGCCTTTTGTCGCGCTCCCTGTCCAACCTCAGCTGGGTCACAAGGAGCGGATATCGGCAAGCATGGTCGATCGAGTGCAAGGTAGTACTCTATTTCAAGGCATGCAATATTCCTCTTCACGCAAGCGCACGGGTGTCGGACGGACTGGCGTCGTCCTGCCTGGCCCTTGCTTCTCATTGCTTACATAGGTCCCTGTGCCTCAACTCGCAAACACCGCTGCTACATCGGTCCTCTCAGCCCATAAGTACCCTAATAGAAGCCTCCATCGTGCCTGCAAAATCACCATTATATACCGCGTAGAAGCTCTAGTTCCTGAGCCACCGGTCCGATAGGATCCTATCATGGGAAGACGTGGGGTAATGTCTGCTGCGAACGTAAGTACTCATCTGTGTCTACTCTACGACCATCATCCTCCCCGAACGACCACCTCCCTTCCGTCAATTCTCTCCACATACTTACCATGACACCCGTAATCCATGTGAGCCGTTCACCTCGCGTTGTCTCAAGCAAGCAGTCGGTGAGTGTCTCGTTCACAGCATCTTCCGCTGAAATTCCCGATAGCGTCCCGCAAACGTCGCAGCTCCTTCGGGCGACAACCGGATGCAAGGACCGGAGGACCTGTCGGTGCCAGTGGCCGTTGACCATGCGATGCGTGTAGCGGGAGGTCTACGGGGCGAGCAAGACGGAGTCTG